GGTTGGGGGGCGCGAGGGCGGGGCCGGCGGGGGCGCGGCCTCCGGTCCGCCCAAAGCCGGAAGCGCCCCCGGGACCCCGCGCCGTCCCTGTCCCCGGGCTGTGCAGCTCGGCGGCTGTCTCCGCGAGGCCCTGAGGCCGCGGGGCTTGGGCTCCCGGGAGGGCCAGATTCCGGGGCTCCACTGCGCGCGGTGCCCGCGGGAGCCTGCAGAAGAGGACCGAAGGCGGAAACTGTGACATGCAATCTGGTCGCCTCTCCACGAGGTGCCGGCGCAAGTGTATGGACGCCTGGCTCCTGGCATGTACCCGTGTGTCTGTGCGATGTGGATTAGCACCTGAGCAGTGCTCACCTGGAGTCTCTTTCCTGACACCCTCTCTTGCCTACACTGTAGGCTGGAGTTTGGTTGAACCTGATTTTAGGGAAAGACAGCAAATCCTCAGCTTTCTGTCAGGTATTTCCCAGGTGACAAAACACTGCCCTGTCCCCCGCTCCTGCCAGTTGCGTCATTTACCAACCGGGGTACCTGCTGATTATCTTTGCATCTCTATGGTTTCGTTTTGCGTTGTTTTGCCTTCCGGCCCAATATTTAACCTGGTGGCTACAAGTTCAGCGGGCTCTGTCACCCATTGTGTAACCTAGGGCGGCCGTTCAATCTCTGCAAAAGCTCTGCTATCTTTCTGTAAAAGGAAACAATAGTTCCTTCCACTCAGCTACTGGAAATGGGCTTCAAGGTGCAGTTCTGAGCAAATTTCCATTGATATCGCTGAGATTTTTTTCATTCACATTTAAAAGTGTTTTGCTCTTAATGGGTTTCTTGCCCTTCCTTCTGCCTTCTGGAAAGTTGCATTACTCTTAGTACTGAAATGAGATCTTCTTTGTGTGTAAAACCACACACCCTGTGGGAATTAAAATCCATTATCTCAGGTTTGACTGTTTTGTTGAAATTAGGTTTTGGTTTGAGAGTATACTTAGCTGTTAAAAATCAAAAATAGCCATTCTTGTTGGTATATTATATAGCACAGAATTTGTTTAATTATTTCGTCAGTTCTAAGAGAGTGCTTATCTAATATCGCAGATTTGAGGGGGAGTTGTCCATTCCTTACATACAAAGTACTCCTTAGTGAGGGAGGGCTTAGTTCTTTCAAGGAACACTGACTGAGAAAGATGATAAAATAAGGAAAATTGAGGAGTGGGTTTTTCTATGGTAGTGGTTTCCAAACTGGATTCAGTCACCTAAAAAATAACCTCTAAGAGGTTTAGATTAGAGAAGTTCTGTACATTCAAAAGTAATGAGATGCAAATATGTTTAATTTTCTTGGAAGATAGTTTTACTTTTGTACATCTGCATGACTTCATTGGTCTTCTGTTAACTTTGATAGCTGTAACTAAAGCTTGTCAGCCCTTGCTGACTACTCCAGCTTGGTGTACGGGCATCTGGGCCAAACCAGCCTTAGGCTTTTAGGGATTTTGTAATTTGCTGTGTTCCTGCTCTTTGCACAGTTAACTTTGCTTCACCTTAGAGCTTTGCCCAGATATCAGTGTTTCACAGATATGTCGATGAATTTCCAGACTAGATGGGACCAGCCAGCTCTGTGTCCTCATAGACATTAAATCACACTTCATATTCATATTTTCAGTTTTTATCGCTTTCTCTCTAGGAACTGGATCTGTTTAGCTTAGCAGCTTGAACTGTAATTGGCACTCGGCATTTCAATGGATGAAGTGTTCAGTGGTTGTTGGGTTTATGCTCTGATATTTGAGGTCTATAATTGGAAAGCTTGACTATTTGTGATTAGCTACTGTTATTTTAAGATTTAAAATACCATGGTCGGGGGCGTGGGGTGGGTGTAGCTCGGCGGTACAGTGATAGAGCATATGCTCAGTATGCATGAGGTCCTGGGTTCAATGCCCAGTACCTCCATTTAAAAGAAGAAATGCTGCTGATGATTTGGTTGAGTAGATACCTTATTGTCAGTCTGCGAGGACTGAAGTAGCTTTACAGACTGAATCTTCTGCCTGTGCTGTTTCTATATTTTATATATTTAAAATCAGATGCATAAATACTGAATGTGTATATTTATATAATTGAAGCTCCCACAGGAATTGGTAAGTATAACCGAAGATAGTTTATACAAACTGGAAATTTTAAGCCGTTTGTTTAATATACATATTTTCTATGATTAAAGTTGGACAATCTGTTTTTTATTTTTAACTATTAAGTTGATAATTATGTTTAGCCATAGGAGGAGTTTTTTCTCCCTCAAATTTTCATTCATTAATTAGTTCAAAAGATATTTATTAAGCTTCTTTTTTGTGTCAGGTTACCAGGCTGGGTGAAAACACCTTCTGATCTTCCCAACAAGGGCAGATTTGAATTGATAAGCTCTGGATCTTGACCCAAATACCCGTTTTTGGTGGGGCAGTAATGATAGGGATCCCACCTGCAGCCTTAGATTTCAGCCTTTTCTGCTCTGGATGTGCCTTGCTTTTAGTGGCTTAGAGCTTTTCAAGATTAATATGCAGTCCTGTTAGATTTCAGGAGGAGAGCAGAGGTTAGTGGACGCATCCAATTTGCTAACCAATCTTGGTGTAATGGCTGGAGGGAACGGAAGCCTAGCTCTTCAGGTGTCTGTCAGTAACAGGCTTCTGCTGACCGGCATGCCCTTCGGAGGTGCCTCATCTTTAAATGTGCTTCCTGGTGGTCATTTGGAAAGCTCCTATGTGCTCTCAGCAGTAGGGAAAGGGGAGACTAAATTTCAGAATTAATTGCTTGATAACAAACATCTAGAGGTGTTAAAGTTGCCATGAGCCATTGAGGGATGTTGCAGCGGTTTAAATGGTCACAGTTCAACAACAACAAAAAAAATGCAGGATTAATGTGGTCTATAGGAGAGTATCCAGTGACCTTACTCAGATCCCACCTGGAGTGACAGAGGCGGGGGTGTCCTGGGTGTTGATAATAAGTGGCCGTTAGGGTTTGAAGTCATATTGAATCCTGCTTTTTTGCATTTCTTTCCCTCTATCCAGTGCATTGATGACTTGAACAAATGGGCCCTGTTTCTGGTTTCTCCTTTTATACTTGAAGCAGAGCACATAGCATTTGTGACAGAGAGCATTTGGGTGCAAGGCGAGAATTTACAGAGACCACCATCCTCTTCAGACACCGTGAGTACCTTGTTTTTCACTTGTGCACTGTGATCAAAACTAAATTTGCTTTTTCTTTGATGAGTGCTCTGTCCTGGCCTTTGTGACTCCCTTTCTTTTTGGATATTTTGGGTTAAATAAAAATATATTAGTAAAATTACTAACATAGTATTAGTATAAAACTGGTATAATGTTAGTAAAAGTACGTTGACCCATTTCCTTTTACCTTTTCAATCTGGTTGCTAGATTTAAAGCTACCTGTGTTTTAACTTGTGCTTTTGACTCATGTTATGTTATTGGGCAGCGCTACTCATGTCTCTCCCCAGGTCGTCTGGTCCATCCCCGCAGCTTCTTGCTTCTACAATCAGTGGATTTATATCCCCATGTGCTTCCTAGACCTCTTACCCTGAGTATTCTGAAAGCCTTTCAAACTCAATAACATGTCCCAAACTTGTTGTTTATGTTTCTCTGCTGGGTTTTCCTCTTGATGGCCAGAATTAGGTTTCTGGACACAAATCCAGTGGCGACATGCTCTTGCTTCAGCTTTCAATGGACTCCTTCTCAGCAGATGCCATCACCCTTGAGGCTCAAGGAAGTCTGACCCTGACCCCTCCTTGTAGGCTGCTTCTACTTGCTGCCTGTCATGAGTCCTTTCTGCCTTCACTCCCCTGCCGTGTGTTCCCCGCCTGCTACGTGGCTAATCCAGGAGGGGTTTTGCTGATGACAGCCATAGTCACTGGACCGCCATCTCAAAAACACTGTCTTTAAGATGTTTCATTGGGATGAATGAAAAAGGAGAGGAGTAAGACTAGAAATCATTAACTAGAATTGAAGGTGGACTGACGTGAGAGTTAAGAGGTAGGGGAAGCCACAGGAGAGCAGGAAACCATGTTTGGGGCTCAGGAGGGGGCCCAGGATTTGGCAGGGGGCCTGAGAGTAGCCCAGTGTGCTTCGGCAGTGCTTTCACCTGCAGGTTCCTAATGTTTTATTTAGCCTTACATGTACTTACGGTAATAGTAATACCATTTTTTGAGCTCCTGTTAGGCTAGGGAGAGGTACCCTACAGGAGAAGTGAGGAGGGGTCATCTGCTGCAGGGGTGGGAGCCAGGCCTGAGCACGCAGCAGGTTCAGGGCCATCCCCCTTAAGGGAGGTGCTGGGGATTGAACCCAGGACCTCATGCATGTCCCAGCACGCACTCTACCACTGAGCTATACCCCCCACCCCACATTTGCTTCTTTCAACATCACACCCGTTGGAGGACGACCACCTCATTCTGCAGTCATCACCTCACTGAAGAGGGTGGTGTGGTCCTTCTTGGTGAGGAAGTCGGTGTCTCAGGAGGTGACAGTGCCCACCAGCTCGCTGTCCCTGGTGCCCGTCTCAGTAATGGGGAGGCCAGAGATGCCATGCCGAATCTTGGCCTACATCCAGCACGTTGCCCATGGTGTATGAGGGGCTTGGCACCATGGGGTCTGTGATGGAGCCCAGCTCATAATTCTTGACCTTCACACCTTGTTGGCCTGGAACTCTGGGGGACAGTTGTGAATGGAACCAAGACTACCCATCAGAGCCATTGCGATAGCCAGTCAGCCTCTGTCTCAGTTTTCGTGGGGCAGGAGATCAGCCTGATAGTCTGAGTCAGGGCTGAAGTCAGCTTCATCACATCAGCTGTGACGTCTGTGAATCCTGGGAGGTTCAGGAAGTCATTGTAGGTGAGGCCATGGGCGAGGAGCTGCTGGGTGGTGGGTGAGTCCCTCCTCAGGCAGGTGGCTGGGGCCCTGCAGGTCAGGAGACTTGAGACCTGATGCAAACACCTGCTACCTTGGTCCTTACTCGAGGGTAATTTTTGTATTGCCGAAGAGTCTATTCAGAAACCTGCTTTTTGTTTAAAATAATGTTTTTCAATTTATTAAAATTATAAATTAAAGGATCAGTTAGGTTGAATCATGAAATTGTTGGTATTTTTTTTTAAACCTTATAAAGAGTCCGTTTCATTTGGTAGCCTAATAGTTCTTCTGTGGGCTTTTAAATACAGCTTACCATTCTTAGAAGTTTAGCAAGTATTTGTGATCACTTTTAAGGGAATTTTTTTTTTTTAACTGAAGATACTAGGGACTGAACCCAGGACCTCATGTATGCTGAGCATGCGCTCTACTGCTGAGCTATCCCCCCTGACCCCCCATCCCACCCGGGAATTTTTGAAGAATATTTATCCTGTTTACAAACTTGAATATCAAACATTTTGTTTTTGGACTCTAGGTGCATAGACTTGGGTGAATCATCATCCTTGGTCAAAATGCTCTCTCATCATTGGTCCATGCGTGGCCCTCTTTCAGTCATGGATTTGAAATTACATGATAAATAGCCATGAACTCACCACTCAGTGTGGAAACTAGAAGTGTTCCCGTGTGCACCCCACAGATTGTATACACTTGTTCTGCGTCACCTGCTCCCACTTTCCTCCCTACCTGCCCCTGTTTTCTTTTTAGGTATATAAGTTGTCTGAATGAACAAACACCACCTTTCTGAGCACTTACATAATTCCTATAAATTATTAAACTTATAAATGTAGTAAGCTTGATGTTTTCTTATATATATTCTAATATGATGTCTGTTTAGTAAGATTTCAACTTAAAACCAAAGCCAAGTTTTAAAAAAATACTGCAATTACATAAAATACCACAAAAGCACAGATTTCTTTTTAACACAAAAATATGACTGCTGTGCTCTTAGTTTCCCAAGTCATTGTTACTTAATACACATCTTTATATGTATAGCATTTTAAAGAACATAGTTACTGTATAATACAGGTATGGGCTAGGCTGCTGTAACAAAGAGACCCAGAACCACTGTGGCTCAAACTGGTAGAAGTCTACTCCTCTCTTGGGGAGGTGGTCCTGCTCTGTAAGGCCATCCAGGGGCCTGTCTGTTCTGGCCAGATGAGGTCGGAGGGAAAGATGGGGCTGGAGTGTTACTTGGGAAATCACCTTGATGCAGTGGGAACTTCTAAGAACACTGCCAGGCAGGCTATCCCAGCGGTCACAGAAGAGAGAGGCTTTCAGAACAAGTTAAGATGTACAAATAGCACAGTTTATTAAATCAATTCAAAATGTACAGCAAGAAGCAGACAGAGAGTTCCATGGTCAGTTAACACTTAGGATGGGGTTCCTGAGGGATGGAAGGACTGCACACCTGAATCCTGAGCTATGCAGTGGCCGCACATCCTCCCTGTCTCCTGCACCAGCATCCCTGCTAAGGGTGTGGTTATAAGGATCAGGGTTGAGGTTAATTAGGGGGCTCAGGAGATGGAGGATGCCTGTGGTCAGCCCATACTCGCTCTGTTGGAGAGACTGGGACACATATGCCTGGAAGAGCTGTGATTTACCAGGGAGCTGCAGCGAAGCCGTGCGTTTTACCTGTGTTTCTAGGTAGGATATACCTGGGGCCCTAATGAGTGGCTGATTTAGGGATGACAACTGTCATTCTGGAGGTGGCGTGATTTGTGTCTTACTAAGATCTAGAGATTTACTAGGTCCACCCATGACTGTGTGCCTAGGAGGAACCCTCTCTTTCGTTCTGTTTTTTTTTTTCTGTGTTCACCATTTGTTTGTTCCATTTGTTTCATCTTTCTTCAGCGTGTCTTAAAAGTTACTGACTCAATACATCTATGAGCTTCATCCATGCTGTTTGTTTTTGTTTTCTTTGCAGCAAAATTGAATGCTCTTTCATGGTATGGCACATACATGTGATACATAGATCAAAAAGGTTTATATGTACTAGTTGGTAATTTGGACTTTTTAGCCAAAATTTTTTTCTTTTTTTTCTTTCAAGCAGGATGAGCAGTTTTGTGTGTTAGAAAGACCACAATTTAGGCTGATTGGAGACCAGTCCGAGGGAGGCAAAACTGGAACAGAGTGTACTTCATGTGGGAGCAGAGACTGGCCTTGAAGCATAGTGGTAGCAGGAAGGGGGAGGCAGAGACAGATAAGCTTTTTATGAGATGATGAGGGATTTGGGGAGGATGGCGGATCATTCCTGGTGACAGGGACCATGGTGGGAAGGGCTGGTGGAGGGGCCCCTATAAAGAATGCAGTCTTGCACATTGTTTTAGTGAGCTTTGCTGAAATAGCAGATGGCCTCAGAATTTCAATGGCTTCTAACAGCAAATCTTTGTTTTGTGCTCGTGTTACCAGCAGGCTCAGCAGGTTTGCTGCTGCCGCTTCAAGCCATGGCTGCTGCGGGCTCTGCTCTGTGCATCTTTCTAGTGCAGGGACCAGGCCAAGAAGGCGTGTCCATCTTTGGACGTGCAGTTCTCCCTCAGAGGGGAGAAGATTCAGTGTGGTAGGTTTACGATGGCTGCAAATTCCTTCCTCTTACTGAGAGGTGGAGGGTTGTACCCTTCCCTAGAATCGAGGCTCAGCTTAGTGATTTGTTTGTCTGATAGGAGGGAGAGACATTCTGGGACCTCCTAGGCTACACCAGGAGAAACCTTGCAGCTTCTGCCTGGGCTCTTGGAATGCAGCTCCCGTGCTGTGAGGCAGCTCAAGCTGCCCTGTGGCAAGGTTCCCACAAAGACCTGAGGTCCTCAGCGGACAGTCCTAGCCGAGGTCCCAGCTGGTAGGCAGCTCCACCCTGCCAGCTGTGTGAGGAAGTGGATCGTCCAGGCCCAGCTGAGCCCCACCTAGCAGATTGCCCTTTGGAGCAGAGTTGAGTTGTCTTTGTAAAGCTCTGTCTGTCCAAACTGAGATTGTGAGCAAAATAAATGATTGGTGTAAGCCATTACGTTTTCGGGTGGTTTACTATGCAGCAGGGGGTAACAGAACACTTGGGATGTCTGTTAAAACTTCTGCTCTTCCTCAGCTTACCTGCACCAGTGGGGCAGGGAGATGGAGTGGGCAGTGAATCATTATGGATGCTAAGATGGTACACTGTAGACACTGGGCCTCAGGTGCTTATGGGGCATCTAAAGAACACACACAATATAAAAGGTTATGACAACAAGGATATTCCTAATGCTTTC